TACAGGTAAGCAGGCATCAATTGTTGTCCTCCAGGCATCACCATTGCTTACAGCATCATCTTTTTCAACAATGATTTCTAACGCCGGCTCACCCATTGATTGCAGCGTCGTAGTCGGTCCTCGAAGGATTTACAGAGCCTTTACGCAAAGGTCATAAATACTTAATGCTAATTTCGCAATGATCACTGAATCTGCAGTTTTTGTTTTCTGATGGCTTAGTCATACTATATAACAGAGGAGAAGAGAGAGGATCAATGAAAGACTAAGCACGCTGCAGCAGCTAATTCCTAATGGCACCAAAGTAAGTTCTTTTCTTTTGTATTTAGTGATCAACTTTTTTGCTATCAAATTGGTATTTCAAAGGCCCAGCAATTTGCGCAAACTTTTGTTAATGGTATGTAAGACATGCACGTATATATTTAAGTCTAAATAAGCTATGAACATGAGCACAGTTTATTACAATCTCACACAATGATTATATATACACCACATCAAGAGTTCCTGACAATAATGTACACAAAGATTGCAGCAAAGAAGGTAAATGATAGGCTGATTTTCTGATCTTCATTTTACCCTTCTATGCAGTTCAACTGTTGGCATTAAATCTTTGCCTTCTCATATGCTTGGTATAGTAGACTTGATATGTCTCTTTTCAAGACAAAAAATCTCCCCTAATACATGTTCCTGTTCATTAATGCTATCATATTCTTCTAAATGAGCAGGACTGCCTCCCCTAATACAAAGAAGCAGTTTCTTTCTCCTTCCCCGCTGCCTCCCCTAACCTTGAGAGCCTCCCCTTCTGATGCGACGAAGACCATGCTACAGTTCTTTAAATGTGAGATCTCTCTTCCTCCTTTACATTCTAGCATGTCTTATTACAAGCTTGAGTTGTCTAAATGCAGTGCTGCTCGCTTTGGTATTTCTATTATAGCACGAGCACGATAATGTACGAACTTTATATTTTTGTTAACTTGTTAGGCAAAGGTTCTTGAGTAGTTATATCAGTTAGATGTTAAGTTACTAGCAATGATTTCATGAGCATTTTTTATGGGACTGCAGTCACATTTCTTTATATATTTCCTTCCACAAGTGTGCTCTGTCAGTTGCATTCATTTAATCAGATGTCATTTGTTTGTCCAGTTACTATCCTTTTGTGTGACACTATTGCTGATACATTTCTTATCTTAGGTTGTGATGTTTAACGCTATTGTATGTCAACATTGTTGCCAAAAGTAATGAATTCTTTCAACATTGTTGTCGTCTTTTATGCTAAGCGCATTGTGGGATCCTCCCAGATACACTGGGCTCTTTTTCATGAGTGGTTAACCACTAGACCTCTAGTTATATCAACAGTTTAATACGTTATTTGTGAAGCAAAATATACATATCGCTGAAAGTAAAAGCCGCTGCTCACTAGCTGTCTCTGTATGTGGTTCTTCTAACTAGACACATTTTGTGATGCATTAGAAACCTAATGTCATTCTATATTAACAATGTAATATACTTGTGCAATTGGTTTCATAGAATTTTATCATGTGCAGTACCTTGAGCTAACTCATTTATTTTAACAGATGGTGTAACAGACTACTCTGTTACTGGTAGCAAGTCAAAAGGAATACTGGCGACTCAGACGAGTAAATCTACATATATGCTTCATTTTCAGACCCCAACCATCACTTCACCAAAATCCTCGTTCAACTTCAAGCCCATCACCTCCATTCTTGATTAACAGATGGTGATGGAGTGCTGATTGACAGTTTCTTTCACACCAGCAGTTAATTCTTTGATTCTTTCATCTGCTAGCGGGTCCATCAGTAATGCTTCGTTTCTTTTATCTGATAGCAGGTCCCTTCGAGTACTGTATTTGTGTATTATTTGAATGAAACCTTGTTGGTCATGCACAGAAATTACTGTATGGAAAATATATATTTTAATATGTTGTTGCTACTGTTTTAAAATAATTTTTTTGTGCGTTTAACTCTTTTTCTGTGAGGCTGGCTACACAGAAATATTATTTTTAATCTGGGCGAAATGAATTTTTCTGTGAGTTCACCTGGACCGACAGAAAAAAAACATGTTTTCTGTGCGTTTATTTCTTTTTTCTGTGTGGATTAACACAAAGAAAAATTAGTTTTAATATGGGCAAAAACAATTTTTCTATGTGTGTGAGACCCACAAAAAAATTGTTTCTGACGGAAACCCATAGAAAAATTTGATTTTTCTGTCATTATATTTCTGTGCGTATTTTTCTGAGGGTACACCGTTAGAAAAATATTTTTCTGATGGTATTCGCATTTTTCTGTGCGTTTTCGCACACACAGAAAAAAGCAAGATTCCAGTAGTGGCAGGCGACGCACAGTCGCGACCGGCCTCTGTGCCACTAGGAGCGCAGGCGACGAGGCTACTGAACACGCTCAGGCGTGTGCAACGAGGGACGGCAAGCAGGGCCCCGAGCTCATACATGGACACAAGAGAGGGCCCCGAGCTCAGAATAAAAACGGCTGTAAAAATAAAATCATTTTCATCGTTGTTTCGGAGAAAACCCAATTGTTGTTCTAGGCCATAACCTTAGAACCCCTGGTTGTCACCCAAGCAAATACCAAAACCGAAGAGAACAAACCGACGAAAGTTCACTGCAAGTGACTCGTCTTGATTTCATGGACTGGAATTAGGGTTCCTCTCTCCCTACAACCCCCCGCAGGGGCGCTATTTATACACTTCCGTAGCACTTTACATGGACACAACTACCCCTGCAACTACCCCGATCTGGGGGAATATTCCTATTCGCCGAGGGTACTCCGATCTTTTCTATCTTCACCTCCCTCGGGCTCCAACCACCCTCGCCGCTGGTTGGTGGTCCTGTTGGTCGGCTGTAGCCACCCGGCCCACGCATAGCCTTCTCCTCAGCGATGAAAGGGCGAAGAGTTCCTGCAGCACTAGAGAAGATCACCTTGTGAAAGCACTCAATCAACCCCGTATTCTTCGCCTGGCGCTCCCTTTCGCCCTCAATGGGACGCGAAAGGCACCGATCGCTACATACTTCCCCCTTTCGCCAGAAGGGGGTGCGAATGCTAAGGGGCGTAGCCCAACACCAACGATGAAAACCATCTTGGTGGTTTGGGATTAATTAGAACCAACGGTGAAAATCAGCACGACTCACCCCCACACGCGTGTGCCTGTACCAAGCATGAGCTGCAACATACCAACTTGTGCTTTCTTAGTGATCGATAGGTGGGGTCCATGTGCATGTGTAGCACTATAGGATTGGTTGAATCTCTCTTCATCCCTTCCTCCTGCTACTGCTCCCTCCCACAACTGAATCTCCCCACCGATGTGCAGCCCAAGACACGCGCCTGTTCATGTTCACTGGCGCGCGGACCACGATAGGCCTGGCACCATGCTCTCCACCACCGAAGCGCGGCCCTCCTCATGGCCTCCTGCTCGCAGCCACCCCGTGATTGGCCCCCACCACGATGCATCGAGGTGAGCATATCTCCCTCTCGTCTCTCAATCTCTCTCGCCCCTCTCTCATACTTGGTGGCAGCAACGGCGACTGGTGGCACGAGGAGGAGGCAGGCTGGAGGAGGAGAAGGCGATGGGCTAGGGCAGCATGGGCAGCGGATGATGGTAGTTTTTTTATCGGGTACAACTTGGACGCACACGACCCACACACTCCACATACGCGCGCACACACGCGCCCTCCACTACCGAAAACAGTCAATTTGCCGAGTGCAAGGGGGTTTGCCGAGTGCAATACTTCGGGCACTCGGCAAACAAGCTCTTTGCCGAGTGTTGTTCGAAAAACACTCGGCAAAATAATTGCACTCGGCAAAAAGGGGGTTTGCCGAGTGCCCAAAAAAACACTTGCACTCGGCAAACCCCCTTCTTTGTCGAGTGTTTTTTTTTTACACTCGGCAAAGAAATAAGTTTTTTTTCTCTTTTAACCTTCAAACTTTTTCTACTATGCACATACAACATGTCGTACTCCATGTTAAAATTTGGTATATTTCTGAATCTATTTGCTATATTTAATTAATTTATTGCATTTCAAGATTTTTTTTGGTTTAAGTCAAATTTGAACAGCAAGTGATTCAAATAATAGAATAAAATGAGTAGAAAAATGATAGTCATGTTATTGAGTCAGTGTGAGGCCTTACCTTGGAAATGAAAAGAAATTCTGAACATTTTGTTCAGGAAACACGACCATGAACGTGTGACCGAATGGTTTTTAAATTCTAAAAAAAGCAAACCAAGTTTGAAAATCATGAGATTTGTCATGATGTAATGATATCTTACGTGGAGGCTATGGTAAAAATTTGATAAGGTTTTGCACGTTTTGTCACGTACGATGTTTACAAACCGAACCATCTTAGAAGAAGAATCGTAGCGTTGAGAAGGATTCGGTAAGATTTGGAGTCAAAGTGACGGTCGAATTGAGGTTTGACTTCAAAACTTTTTGTATAAGCAATAGAGAACATAGATTGTTTCAAGTGAAATTTTGATAATTTTTTGGATCCATTTGATAATTTTCATTTATTAAGTGCAATTATAGAATTTTAATTGATATAAATTGAATTTGAACTATAACTACTAGAAATAATGGAATAATATTCGTAGAAAAATCAAATATATATTGTCGAGTGAATTTGATAAGGTATTTTCAAAGTACATCAGAACAAATTTAGAAAAATACGTTATGAAAAAGAAAGAAAAGAAAGAAAATGAAAAAAAAACTGGATTTGCCGAGTGCTCCTAGTGTGGCACTCGGCAAACCCCCTTCTTTGCCGAGTGTAAGATCTGGACACTCGGCGAACCCCCGCTCATATACCCCGTATCCGGCCGCACATAGCCACACACGCACACACCCACCCGCGCCACACACGCACACAGGCACACCCGCCCCCGGCCGCCGCCGGCGCACACTGCGCCCTGCCCCGCCGGCCCCAGGCCCGCGTCCCTCTCGTCTCATGTACGGAAGGAGAAAAATAGACGCCGCCGCCATGTCGAAGCGAGGTAAGCCGCCTCCTTTCCTCGTCGATTGATTATCCATCCTGTTGCAATCTCGCGTTTTTAATGGAGTTCTCGCTTGGCGTGGTGTCTCGTGATGTGATCCAGGGAGAGGAGGTACGGCGGGGAACAAGTTCCGCATGTCACTGGGTCTACCGGTGGCAGCGACGGTGAACTGCGCCAACAACACGGGCTCCAAGAACCTCTACATCATCTCCGTCAAGGGCATCGAGGGCCGCCTCAACCGCCTCCTGTCCGGATCCGGCCCCTCCCCTCCGGATCCGGCCCCGCCGCCTCCCTCCTCCCCCTCCCTCCCGGATCCGGCGCCGCCGCCTCCCTCCTCCCTCCCTCCCTCCCTCCCGGATTTCCCCGGATCCAGCCGCCGCGCCACCCCTCCCCTCCGGATCCGGCCCCGCCGCCTCCCTCCCGGATTTCCCCAGCGCACCGACTTCGAGGGCTTGCGCGTGCTGGATGCCCGCCACGGCCGTGTTCTCGTCAGAAGAGGCAGCGTCCTTGCCGTCTGGAACCCCATCACGAATGAGGTGCGGGTACATGTTGCTTATTTTTAGCTTTTACAATGTCCAGAACGAGAAATAATTTAGTTGCTAAAATGGCGATAGGCTTCTGCATAACTTATTTATGGAACTGCAATATCACAATCTTGTACTACCGAATTGGGTTGATCCTACCTAAATCTTTTGTTGTGGGCAATCTTTGAAACTGATTAGATATAACTATGATTTATTGATCCATGATGCAGTTTGTGGTTTGTGGATCTATGAGATCTATGGTTCGGCAGCACTTTATGCATCAATGAGATTGGTGTTAGCCTTAATTCGTTGGACTTCAAGGTTATGATTTTTAAGCAATTGTTTCTCTTAAGACTATGTTACACAATTTTGCTTGTCTGAATGCGCGGGAGTGGGGGTGGGGATATAACTAGCATCATCAAAGAATAAATAACCAGTATATGAGTGCACATCAGTTTACATCTTGATTTTGCAAGAAAAGAAAAGAACCAGTGGTAAATTTACAAATGCACCAGAAAAAAAAAAACTGACATTGTGGTATACGTACAATGCTTTTGTGGTGATCCGAGAACGGAGAACCACAAAAGATCGACCGTGCTTGCATTTGGTTAGTGGATCACTAGGAATGAGCTGAAAGTTCTTACCATCATGGCCAACTTTCCAAGCCAAAAGGTCTCAACTTTCTAGTCCATAGTGCCAGAATCATGATTACTGAATAGAATACCTGTCATCTTCTCCTAGTACGTATACACTAATCATCTTCTCCTCATCACACTATAGATCAGATCAGGAAGCTAAGCTGCTAAACTCGAAAGCACATCAAATGCGTGTTATGCTTTCTCTAATCTCTCGCTAGTTTTGTTGATTGACTGCTAGTAGTACTCCATATCTGCCCAATGTGTACTTTGAACATGAGATAAACTGCAATTCAGTGTTGATTTGATGCATCATTAAAATGCTAACTGCTGCTGCTGGCTAGCTGCTTCAGCCGTCTCGTCATGCCGCTGCCAGCACCAGCAGGCAGCAGCAGCATCGAATGGCCACCAAATGCGCTTACTGACTGACTGACTGACTGATTCACATTCACCAATGAATCACCAGGCTGGCCCCGAAGGTGGTGACAATTGTGGAGCAGGACCTGAGCCAGTCGGGTTCCTTCCTGGCGCGGTTCGTCGAGGCCATCCACTACTACTCGGCGCTGTTCGACTCGCTGGACGCGAGCTACGGCGAGGACAGCCCCGAGCGGCACGTCGTGGAGCAGCAGCTGCTGTCGCGGGAGATCCGCAACGTGCTGGCCGTCGGCGGCCCCGCGCGCACGGGCGACGTCAAGTTCGTCGGCAGCTGGCGGGAGAAGCTGGCGCAGTCCGGGTTCTGCGCGGCGTCGCTGCTGCTGGGAATGTTCCCCTCCGACGGGTACACGCTGGTGGAGGAGAACGGCGCGCTCAAGGTCGGGTGGAAGGATCTCTGCCTGCTCACCGCCACCGCCTGGCGCCCGATTCATCAGGCCCCGTGCCGTTAAAAGCTGAGATTACTAGCCTTATTGTTACAGAGCTAAAGGCATTTTATTTTTTGCGCGGCGTCGCTACTAGAGCAGGCTTACGCTGCTGGGAATGTTCCTCTTCTTCGCGCTCAAGGTCATAGGATTGATCTCTTTCACTGGCGTGACAGTTACTGATGTTAAAAGCTTATTAATTAGTTTCTTTACAGAGTAAAGGCATTTTGTTTACTGTTGTAGGAATTTGGATTTGCAGGGCTTTCCACCGGCTGAAGAAGCGCGCCGTTTTCGTTTTTATTTAAAGCAAATAGTATTCAAACATAGACTAATTAGGCTCAATTGGGGTGGGATGGAGAAAAAAAATTTTGGCTTCTTCAAACTGTGCAATTAACATTTTCTTTTTTTGTCAACGGTTTACTAAAACCGCTTCAGCTCCCGGTGGAACTGTTCATGCTGAAAAAAAAAAATAACATTCGATGTGAAGACCAAACGGGGCCTTACTTCTAGATGTTCTTCTTAGCATAAATCTTTTTGGCAGTTACTGATGTGAGCTTAAAATTAGTTTCTTGGTAGGTTCTGCTTAGAAGTCCTGTCAAACTAGTCCTATTTCTCCATCATCATTACATAGAGGAGCTCTTAACCATAGAGTACAATATATGGTGCTCTTTATGCAGTTAGTGTAAACTCTTGCTACTGTTAGGAGAATGTTTTACTGTTATCTCCAGAAAATTTTGAGAAGTTAGGCAACTACAGACCAAGGCAGTAGTATATTTTTCTTTGGGGTTGAGGGGGGTGGGGTGCAACTAAAGTAACCAATGTAGCTGTAGTCCATTTTTAATGCTAGTTCTGGATGAGGTGACATTGCATCTTTCTTAGCTAGCTAGCAGCTCATCAATTCAAATTGGGTCAATTCACAATGCTGAGAAAACGAAATGGAAACATGCATTCTGATCACTAGTTGCTAGTTGATCCCTGATCTCCTTCACAGTGACAGCTGCTGATGTAAGGTTAATTAGTTTCTTGATAGATTCTGCTTAGATTTCGGTCGTGCATCTTCATCAACCTGTCAAACTAGTCCTATTTCTCCATCATCATTACATAGAGGAGCTCTTAACAATACAGTACAATAAGAGGTGCTCTTTATGCAAGTTAGTGTAAAGTCTTGCTGAGAAAGTACAAGCACTGTTAGGAGATTGTTACTGTTTTCTTTCTCTAGAAGAAAATATGGCAAGTTAGGCAGTTACAGACCAAGGCTATTTTTCTTTGGGAGGCAAATAAAGTAACCACTGCAGATGTAGTCCATTTTTAATACTAGTTCTGGATGATCTACTCATGTACTATTAGAAGTTGAGCCCTTTTTGGTGTGGATATATATGCATTTGCCTACTTTTAACATCCTTTTCACCTTTGCCTCCATGAGGTCATCTGCTTGTCAATTCTTTGCTCCCTGGACATGTTGACCAAGTGAGGCATTGGCATGATGATGAGGTCACATTACATTACATTGCATCCATCCAGAAAAGAAAAGAACCAGTATATGAAAGCATTTTTTTCTTTGGAAAATGGTTTTGCCGAGTGTAATTTCCAAAAACACTCGGCAAACAATAATGATATGCTGAGAAAAAAATTATTTTTTTTCTTTGAAAATAGGTTTGCCGAGTGTATTTTGGAAAAACACTCGGCAAACCATTTTTTTTTTTTTTTGCCGAGTGTCAAATTTGACACTCGACAAACCATTTGCCGAGTGCGTGATAAAAAACACTCGGCAAATATCTGTTTGCCGACATTGTAGATACCATGTGCTTTTTGCCGAGTGTTACACTCGGTAAAGACTTTACCGAGTGTTTTTTGTCTTTGCCAAGTGTCTGTGGCACACGGCAAAGTCATTGTTTTCCGTAGTGCTCAACAGTGTGGACAGCGGTAGTTGCAGTGGTGGCGGTGGCTTAGCCTGCTAGCTGCTGTTTTTTTTTTCAATTATCATCGTCAGTTCAAAGAATGAGCCGACGGCAGGTCAATGCCGATTTGATACCAGCAAAGATGAAGATTGTCATCACCGCCCACTTTCACTACCAAGGCTCAAACCGGCGGCGATGAAGTGTTTGGTACCAGCGGTGATGAGACAAGGATAAAGCGTGTGGCGGTGGGGGCGTGCACGTCACATACACCACCAGAGGCGGATCCAGCGATCTGGCAAGGTCTGGCAGCCGCGAGACCTCACCGCCAGCCAGACCCAGACCTACCCTTACATGCATGTTTGCGGCCAGCTGACACAACACACAAGTACGCGTGGTAGGCGCACGTCGTATATTCATGCTGAGCGGCCGCAACAGGAAGGTCGCGAGCGCGTGGTGCCTTGCAACTTGCAAGTATAGGATACGGCTCACCACTGTGCACTTCTCCCTCAATCAATGGATGCTACCGCTAATTGGCCTTTATTTGTTCTTGGCCTCTACTAATCGATATATATGAATGCATTAGCCAAAAATCCAATGTTTGCACACTTAGGTTCTATTTGGTTCGCGTCCGCACGGCGCCGCACCGCACCGCAATTTTGGCGCACGTTTGGTTAGCTGCCGCACTTGCGGCGTGCCGCGGTGCGACCACAACACCCATATTCTGCCAAATGTTGGGCAAGCAAATCGAGCGCTGATGTTTTGGCGTCGCCCACGTTGCGGCTCGGCGGGCGGAGGCGTGAACCAAACACGCCTTTAGCATCTTGGATAGTAGTTGCTTGGTCATGCAAACTAGTAGAAAGTTCGCCGTAGGTGAATTTTTATCCTAGATCCGCCACTGTACACCACCTTCTCCGCTGCGCTGCAAATGTGCTTCTGCGCCCTCACCTTCTACGCCTCAGGTCTTTCGTTTCCCGCCTTCATCATCACCACTACTGCAGTGGGCCTGGACCCCACGCGCCACACTCATCATGGCTAGCGGCACCATCTAGCTGAAGTAGCGGTGAGTGAGCTTGGGGGCATGGCAACAGGGAGGGTCAGTGACTCAGTGTCAACGAGGAACAGAGAGGAGGGGTGGACAGTGGACTTGACATGTGGGACCCACATACTAGGTCCACATCAATGCGTAGTCAGCGTGCCACATCATGGTACGGGTAGGTTAGACCACGTTTGCATCCAGACCAGATCCGAAACCAAATTTATTAACGACCTAAAAATAGCATTTTTAAGATTAGAGGATCTAGATGACATCATTTGCCAAACTTAACAAGGATCGGATTTGAATTTTACTCATCTCTATATATATAGATCAAGCTGCACACCTAGTGTGAGCATGCGAAGTAGGTTGCACCCCGTTGGAATACTGATGAGACCCGAAATGAAGTTTATCTACCCAAGAATAACATTTTAAGATTAGCACGACCTAGATGACAACCTTTGTGTCAAACTTCAAGACCTATAGAAAGAGAGAGAGCTGAGAGAGATCTCAAGCAGCTGCACACCGGCCTGGTGGCTTCCATGAAGATCATGACCGTTGAAAACCAGAAGTCCCTGCGGCTCAGCAGAGAGCAGAAGCCGCCAAGCAAGACGACCGTGGCCCATAGCAAGCCCAATGTGCCGACAGCGTTGCCCGCCCACTCCAACAAGGCAACGCAAATTTAGGCCTTATTTAGTTACCCTCAAAATTCCAAGTTTTTTCACTCTTTCTCCATCACATCAATTTTTAGCCGTTTGTATGGAGCATTAAATGTAGGTAAAAAAAATAACTAATTGCACAGTTTAGTTGGAAATCACGAGATAAATCTTTTGAGCTTAGTTGGTCCACGATTGGACAATATTTACCAAATAAAACGAAAGTGCTACTATTCATCGGGTTGAAATTTCTTTTAATCTAAACAAGGCCTTAGCCTCTTCATCTTCCTCTTCACCTTTTGTGCGCTGCTCTCCCTCTGCTGCCCCGGTCTCCGTGCACTGCACGGCTGCACCTCACTGCTCTGCCCCGGCCGCACCTCGCCGCCGTCAGCGTCCGCATGCGCGCGGGGCTCTACCGTGATGATGCAACACTCCTCGCCACTAGCAGGTGTCGTCGCCATTTGTTGTCTCTCCGCGGCGCGGGCCGGGGGCTATATATAGACAACTGGAACAAGTGGCTTAATATATAACCAATTAATTAAAATAGACATTAAAAAATTATAACCACGTTGTACAATGGAAGAGTACAGGAGAACCAGTGTCTTTTCAAAGTTAATTAAAAGAAATTATGAGTACCTATCCTGAGTATGAGACTCTTGAGCCAAGTCGAACAAACTAAGCGTAGCATGATGATCGTTCTCGACGCGTAATAATTTTCGATGGAGAGACGCAGGTTGATCGTGGAAATTTCACAACATTGTCGTGTGGGAAAGCGGTGTCTTAGAACAAACGAAAGAGGACCCAATAACGTAACTATCATGGCGAGAAAACCAAATATAATACATTGTCGTTCTCTGGGAAAGCGACGTCCCATTTTTCTTCTCCTGTAAAACCAAATACGGCGTGACTGGTGCCACAGACGTCTGGGTCCGGCCGCCCGCGCCTGCTGCAACGTACGTCTGAAACGGATAAAATATTTAAAACATACGTTTTGCAACATACGTCTAAAATGGATGAAATATTTGGAACATACACATACAACATATGTGTATAGCCACTGCAACATATGTAAAATCCAAATAAAATACTTCCAATATACGTCTGAAATAGATGAAACATTTTGAATAGACACTTGCAGATATGTGTATAGCTATTGCAACATATGCAACATCCGGATCTACTTTTGCAACATCCATATGAAACACTTGCAACATACCTCTGAAACATCTAAAACTCTTGAAACATACGTTTGCAACATACGCTTTCAGTGCAGTATGGGTGGGCGGCGTGGTGAACTGGCACGGTGGAGGCGGCTTGCAGACACTATTATACAAAAACTTTCACATAGCGTTTGGAAATGGGGCTCGGAGGCGAGCGGGCTGGTTGCTCACCTCCGTTATTCGGTGGGTGGCAACCGGCCCAGTGCCCGCCTCGGTTAAT